GACCGAGACTAAAATAAAACAGTTGACTACACGGAAAATTAATGACAAAAAATATAAATTAGATAACCGAAATACAATACTTCATAAAGACCAGTTCATTAAAAGGAAATGTCTTTCCAGGTCTCTGGAAGTCCTTGCTGGCGATTTTCTTGATGATATCCCCAGTGGTAGCGCAGAAGCTCGAGGTAGTCGATTTGAATAAAGGCAACGGATATGCAATGATACAACTTAATGACAAAATGTTAATAGATGACTATATTAAAATTCTTCACATATTTAACACCACAAAATATATGGATTTTTTGAATGAATTGGGAGAGGAAGTTTCGCATATTAATGATTCATTTTTATCGCTTGAAATCGAGCACATACATTTACGACTTAAAAGTATTATTCCCCATCAAGCTAGAAATAGAAGAGGTTTAATTAATCTTTTTGGTACAGGATTAAAATATCTATATGGTACAATGGATAATAATGATAGAGAAGAGATTGAAAGACAACTGCAAAATTTGGAGAAGAATGAACATAATATAATAACGCAAACTAATAATCAAATACACATAAATACACAAATTGACAATCAATTAGCTAACTTAACAAAATTATATAATGACCAAACAAAACTGTTGATTAAGAGCATGTCAAACGTTAAATCAATTAAAGATAACACAGCAAAAGCTGATAAAGTTTACCGTCTTAAATACCAAATTGATCATATGGGCAAATTATTAGATAAAGTAAGAGACCTAATCTTGGCTTCCAAATTAAATATTCTCACTCGAGATATCCTGAGTGATGAAGAAATTAGAATATATAATATAACCATAGATAAAATGAAAGAAATTAAGATGAATTTAGCCCTTTACAAAAATAATATAGTATTTGTCTTAAAAGTACCCCAATATAATCCTAAAATATTCCAAGAAGTATATATTCAACCAATACCTAATAAAGAAAAAATGCAAATTAATATTGCAGAAAAATTGTATATCACAAAAGATAATAAAATTTATTATGATGTTAATGAAACACCAAATCTAAGGGAAGTTGAGGATGATTGTATATCCAATCTGTTTAATTATAAGCTCATGAAATGTCATTATATACAAAATACTAAACCAAAAGTTGTCGAAATTGGCTTAAATATTATAATTGCTATAAATACTAATCAAATTGTTAATCATACATGTAACAAATACCCATTAAAATTATCTGGAAATCACATGCTGATCATAGAAAATTGCAAAGTAAAATTGGACAAATGGTACAATAAAGTAATGTTTCAAAACATGTTAATAATTCCAAATCCCTACAGAGACATACATATGATAAATGATTCATATGATTCTTTAGAGGAAATACAGTATCATCATATTAAAAATACCGAATTCATATCAGAAATAAAATTTGAACAGAAAGTAACTAATTACACAGTAATAGTCTTGACAGCTGTAATTATACTTATTATAGCATTGTATCTGTATGTAAAATATAGATCAAGCACAGTAAAAGTAAAAGTAACTATGCCCTTCCCCTCAGCTCCTTTGGAACACGGGAAAGAGTCTTCGTCCGGGGGTGTTATAACCCAAACCAAAATGCCTTTCCAATGACTTGGCAATATATTCATATTACAATTATCGTATTCATATTACAATTATCGTACCATCTGTCATTTAGAAAAAAAAAGCCACACCCTTCTTGCAAATCACACAATCGATCGTATTTCAAATCATACGATCGAATCAAAAGACCAATAAATAATCATACGATGTATCTAGAATTAGAATAAACAATTATGTATATTGCACTCATTCACAAATAAAGATTTAGTTCTATTCCAGCAGCAAACTTTAATTGACGTGTTATTTTTTAACGCGAGTTTCGCCAAAGGGAGGAAACTCACTTTAGTTTTTAAAAAATATAATACTATTAAGAATGATTAAAATTCTTGGCCTCCTCTTAAGAATACTTTTTTTGACACAAAAAAAAAAAAAAAAAAAAAAAAACTCCATTTGCTTGCCTTAGAAACTCCAATTTGGCCGCCTATAAAGATTCCCTTCTGATCGCCTTCAAAGACTCCCTTCTGGTGGCCTACAGAACTCCCTTCTAGTGGCCTACAGAACTCGCTTCTGGTCGCCTTTAAAGATTTGCTTCTTCTCGTCTTTAAAGAATCCCTTCTAGTCGCAGTTAAAGATTTTCTTCTGGTCGTTTGAAGACTCCCTTCTGGTCGCCTTCTAATACTCCCTTCTAGTCGTCCTCGAAACCCCTTATGGGCGCTTTAAAGACTATTTTTTTACCGCCTTCAAAGACTCCCTTCTGATCGCCTACTAGGTTCCCTTCTGGTCGCCTTTAAAGACTCTCTTCTGGTTGCCTTCAAAGACTCCCTTTCTGGTCGGATTAAAGACTCCCTTCTCCACACCTTCAAAAACTCCCTTCTGGTTGCCTTCAAAGATTCCTTTCTGGTCGCCTTCAAAGACACCCTTTTGGTCGTCTTGAAAGATTTTCTTCGGGTCGCCTTCAAGGACTTTCCTCTGGTCGTCCTCAAAACCCCATTCTAGGCGCTTTAAAGGCTACCTTCTGGTCGCCTTCAAAGACTCCCTTTGGTCCCATTTAAACTCACCCTTCTGGTCGCCTTCAAAACTCACTTTTTGTCGACTTGAAAGACTCCCTTCTGGTTGCCTTCAAAGACTCCCTTCTAGTCGTCCCCAAACCCCCTTATGGGCGCTTTAAAAATTATTTTTTTGACCGCCTTCAAAGACTCTCTTCTGATCGCCAACTAGGCTCCCTTCTGGTCACCTTCAAAAACTCCCTTCTGGTCGCCTTCAAAGACTCCGTTCTGGTCGCCTTCAAAGACACCCTTCTGGTCGCCTTCAAAGACTTTCCTCTGGTCGTCCTCAAAACCCTTTTCTAGGCGCTTTAAAGGCTACTTTCTGTTCGCTTTCAAAGACTCCCTTTGGCTCCATTTAAATTCACCCTTCTGGTCGTCTTCAAAACTTGCTTTTTGTCGACTTGAAAGACTTACTTCTGGTCGCCTCAAAGACTCCCTTCTGATCGCCAACTAGGTTCCCTTCTGGACGCCTTCAAGGACACCCTTCTGGTCGCCTTCAAAGACTGTCCTGTTGTCACCTTAAAAGACTCCCTTCTACTCGTCCTTGAAACCCGCTTATGGGCGCTTTAAAGACTATTTTTTGACCGCCTTCAAAGACACCCTTCTGGTCGCCTTCAAAGACTCCCTTCTGGTCGCCTTCAAAGACACCCTTCTGGTCCCCTTCAAAGACTTTCCTCTGGTCGTCCTCAAAACCCCATTCTAGGCGTTTTAAAGGCTACCTTCAAAGACTCCCTTTAGTTCCATTTAAACTCACCCTTCCGGCCTTCCGTCGCCCTCAAAACCCCATTCTAGGCGCTTAAAGGCTACCTTCTGGTCGCCTTCAACGACTCCCTTCTAGTCGCCTCAAAGACTCCCTTCTGGTCGCCTCAAAGACACACTTCTGGTCGCCTTCAAAGACTTCCCTCTGGTCGTCCTCAAAACCCCATTTTAGACGATTTAAAGGCTACCTTCTGGTCGCCTTCAAAGACTCCCTTGGTCCCATTTAAACTCCCTCTTCTGATCGTCTTCAAAACTCGATTTTTGTCGACTTGAAAGACTTTCTTCTGGTCGCCTTCAAGGACACCCTTCTGGTCGTCTTTAAAGACTCCCTTCTGGTCCCAGTTAAAGATTTTCTTCTGGTCGTTTGAAAACTCCCTTCTGGTCGTCTTCAAAGGCTCCCTTCTAGCCGTCCTCGAAACCCCCTTATGGGCGCTTCAAAGGCTATTTTTTGACCGCCTTCAAAGACTCCCTTCTGATCGCCAACTAGGCTACCTTCTGGTCGCCTTTGGTCCCATTTAAACTCACCCTCCTGGTCGCCTCACAACTCCCTTTTGGTCGCCTTCACAACTCCCTTTTGGTCGCCTTCACAACTCCCTTTTGGTCGCCTTCAAAGACTCCCTTCTAGTTGCCTTCAAAGATTCCTTTCTGGTCGCCTCCATAGACACCCTTCTGGTCGCCTTTAAAGACACCCTTCTGGTCACCTTCAAAGACTCCCTTCTAGTCGTTCTCGAAATCCCATTATGGGTGCTTTAAAGACTATTGTTTGACCGCCTTCAAAGATTCCCTTCTGATCGCTTACTAGGCTCCCTTCTGGTCGCCTTTAAAGACTTTCCTCTGGTTGTCCTCGAAACCCCATTTTAGGCGCTTTAAAGGCTACATTCTTGTCGACTTCAAAGACTCCTTTGGTCCCATTTAAACTCACCCTTATGGTCGCCTTCAAAACTCGCTTTTTGTCGACTTGAAAGACTTTCTTCTGGTCATCTCAAAGACTCCCTTCTAGTCGCCTTCAAAGACTCCCTTCTGGTCGCCTTCAAAGACTCCCTTCTTGTCACCTTCAAAGACTCCCTTCTGGTCGCCTTCAAAGACTCCCTTCTTGTCACCTTCAAACACTCCCTTCTGGTGTTTAAAGTGTTCCTCCAGGTCGTTTAAAGATTCACTTCTGGTGGCCTTCAAGGATTCCCCTCTGGTCGCCTTCATAGACTTCTTTTTGACGTCTTAAAAGACTACATTTTCTGACCTCTAAGGACACATTTTTGGTCACCTCTAACGACATATTTTTGGTTCCTCCTGTCCGTCATTAAACTTCCTCTCTTTCTTTTCAACTTCACCCTTTTGGACAATTTTTTAAAGACGCCCTTTTGGCATCTTCAAAGACTCATTCATGGATGTCTATAACGACCCCTATGCAGGTGGTCCCTAAGGATTTACTTTCTTCCAACAAGTCAAACACACAGGTTATCTATCAATACCCTCTTTAGTTTTCCTTTTTATACTTGGATCTGTAATCTTGTAATCAAATACTACCCACCCCTCTCTCTCTCCGATCCCTAAGAATATCATTGGATCCCATTTGAAAATGCTATTCCTTATCTATTATTTTTGGTAGTAATCTCCCCCATTCCACACTTACCTCTTCCATTTGAACGATTTTCATATTCCTGGCATCCACAACCATTTCACCAATCTTCACGATCTGCGTGTTATTATCCATAGCCGTATAGTTAACTGTGACATTAATACTCCCCGTGACCCTATATTTCACGGAATATTTAATTAAAGCCTGTACTCCCACCACAGTATCCTGGCTAGATTGGAAACCTCCCTTAGCGTTACGTTGCTGTGTCAACCAATTGAAAGCTTTTTTAGCCACCTCCACACTATAGCCAATCTCTAACATGGCCATCAAAACGTAGCCAGTTATTTCAACATCTTTTGCCATATTTCGATCATTTTGACTCCACCAAACTAAGTCGTGGGATGACTTTTTACGTTGTATTATTTTATCCAAAATCGTCCTCGAAGTGGTATAGTTTTTGGCCATTTGTAGGGTCACAGCCATAATGGACAGGGCATACATGTCGTTGGTTCGATTCATACTGCCTGAAAGGAAGTTCAAACCTTTTCTTATGGTTATGGGATGTTTGCGGGCCAATTTCTGAAATAAAAAAATAATTAAATAAAAAAATAAATAATAAATAAATAAACAAAATAAATAAAATTAAAAAATTATTAAATGAAAAAAATAAAATAAATAATAAAATCAAAAAATTATAATAAAATAAAAAAAATATTAAATAAAAATAAATAAATAAAAAGAATTTTGTTAAAAATCCAATTTCAAAAGTATTTTAAAAAACCCAAGACTAAAAATCGACTTTCAAACTTATTTCTCAAAAAATCCACGAATAAGTTGTCCTTAAACATATATTTAAACAAGTTAAAAAACAGTAAGTTTGGCCGGCCCGAACTTTGAGTACCCTCCACCATTTGGAAATTTTCAAAAAATAAAATCCTTAAAAAATTCGGTTAAAATTTTAAAAATACCGATTATAGCCGTTATATTGGGGTCTCTACGACGTGGACTTAAATAGGCATTGTTTGTCAGAAGCCATTGCCATATTCAAATTCGAAACGGTGAATAATATAGCTAGAATCATCAAAATATCGTATAATGGGAGGTACCGTTATATCGGAGCTATGTGAAGACCTGGACCAGCATAGGAAATTTTCTGTCACAGGCTGTAGCATTCATTACGAACTTCAAATACGACAAACAATTTCGGTGGGTATTGTACCTAAACTCGTCAAAATACCGAATATGGGGAGGTACTGATATATGGGGCCTATAAGAAGACCTGGACATGCATAGACAATTTTCTGCCACAGATCGTATTTCCCATTTCGAACTCTAAATACGTAATTTGAAACAATTCCGGTGAATAATGACGCTAAAATCATCAAAATACCGAATATAGGGAGGTACCGTTATATGAGGGCTATACGAAGACGTAGACCGGCACAGACAATTTTCTGTCCTACGCTGTAGTATCTATTACGAACTTCAAATACCAAATTTGAAACAATTCCGGTGAAAAATATCGCTAAAAATCATTTAAATACCGAATATCGGGAGTTACCGTTATATGGGGGCTATACGAAGACGTAGACCGGCACAGATAATTTTCTATCATAGGCTGTAGTATCCATTACGAACTTCAAATACTAAATTTGAAACAATTCCGGTTAATAATGTCACTAAAATCATCAAAATACCGAATATCCGGAGGTACCGTTATATGAAGGCTATAAGAAGACGTGGACCCGCACAGACAATTTTCTGTCTTAGGCTGTATTATCCATTACGAACTTCAAATACCAAATTTGAAACGATTCCGGTTAATAATGTCGCTAAAATCATCAAAATACCGAATATCGGGAGGTACCGTTATATGGGGCCTATATGAAGACATGGACCCGCACAGACAAATTTCTGTCAGAGGCTGTTGTGTCCATTGCCAACTTCAAATACCAAATTTGAAACGATTCCGGTGAATAATATCGCTAAAATCATCAAAATACCGAATATCGGGAGGTACCGCTATATGGGGGCTATACGAAGACGTGAACCTACACAGACAATTTTCTGTCGTAGGCTGTAGTATCCCTTTCGAACTTCAAATACCAAATTTGAAAAAATTCCGGTTAATAATGTCGCTAAAAATCATTAAAATACCGAATATCGGGAAGTACCGTTATATGGGGACTATACGAAGACGGGAACCTGCACAGACAATTTTCTGTCAGAGACTGTAGTGTCCACTACGAACTTCAAATACCAAATTTGAAACAATTCTGGTTAATAATGTTGCCAAAATAATCAAAGTACCGAATAGTCGGAGGTACTGATATATGGGGCCTATACGAAGGCGTGGACCTGCACAGATAATTTTCTGTCTTAGTCTGTAACATCCACTTCGAATTTCAAATACCTAATTTGAAACGATTCCGGTTAATAATGTCGCTAAAATCATCAAAATACCGAATATCCGGAGGTACCGTTATATGGGGGCTATATGAAGACGTGGACCTGCACAGACAATTTTCTGCCACAGACTGTAGTATCCATTTCGAACTTCAAATACCAAATTTGAAACAATTCCGGTGAATAATGTCGCTAAAATCATCAAAATACCGAATATCGGGAGGTACCGTTATATGGGGGCTATATGAAGACGTGGACCCGCACAGACAATTTTCTGTCAGAGGCTGTAGTCTCTATTACGAACTTCAAATACCAAATTTGAAACAATTCCGGTGAATAATGTCGCTAAAATCATAAAAATACCGAATATCGGGAGGTACCGCTATATGGAGGCTATACGAAGACGTGTACCGGCACAGACAATTTTCTGTCTTAGGCTGTAGTATCCATTACGAACTTCAAATACCAAATTTCAAACAATTTCGGCAAATAATGTCGCTAAAATCATCAAAATACCGAATATAGGGAGGTACCGTTATATGGGGGCTATACGAAGACGTGGACCTGCACAGATAATTTTCTGTCATAGGTTGTAGTATCCATTGTCAACTTCAAATACTAAATGTGAAATAGTTCCGGTAAATAATGTCGCTAAAAATCATTAAAATATCGAATATCGGGAGGTACCGTTATATGGGGGCTATACGAAGACGGAGACCTGCACAGATAATTTTCTGTCTTAAGCTGTAGTATCCATTTCGACCTTCAAATACCAAATTTGAAATGATTCCGGTTAATAATGTCGCTAAAATCATCAAAATACCGAATATCCGGAGATACCGTTATATGGGGGCTATACGATGACGTGGACCGGCACAGACAATTTTCTGTCATAGGCTGTAGTATCCATTTCGAACTTCAAATATCAAATTTGAAACAATTCCGGTGAATAATGTCGCTAAAATCAACAAAATACCGAATATCCGGAGGTACCGTTATATGGGGACTATTTGAAAACGTGGACCTACATGGCCCATTTTCAATATCAAAAGTCCTGCAGACATAATACACATTTGAGTAAAATTTCATCAACCTACTTCAATTTGATCGGTAGGTAGAGTGATTTCCACAGACGGCAGACGGATATACGAACAGACGGACGGATATCGCTAAATCGACATAGAATTTTATGCTGATCAAGAATATATATATATATACTTTGTGGGGTCTAAAATGTATATTTCGAGGTGTAATAAGCGGAATACCCTCCATACTATGGTGGAGGGTATAAAAAGAAGTCCACATCAAATAGCTCAACTCACCTCATCCTCGAGAAAGGTCATCAAGATAAATGCCGTGAAACCAAACCTATTCTGCTGCGAAGGATCAATTAGATAACCGGTGTAGGGAAAACTACCATCCTCACGCTGAGCCGTTGCCAAATAATCCAGACCGCTCTCAATGATGTGTCGCTCAATGGGAATGGCATATTTTAAGGATTTTATAAAGAAGCGTATGGTGTAAGCCGTCAGCCAGGTACTGGCTTCTAAATCTTGTCTTTGGCCAAAGACACTATAACCCCCATTGTCATGGCGATAGGTCAATTGTTGCTGATAGCCGATTTCAATGAAACGCTTGGCTTTGGACACCAACTTTGCTTCCCGGTGATATTGACCCGTCAACTTAAGGTATTGCAGAGCCAATACATTCGGGGCAAAATCTGCCATATTCTGTTCTCCACAACCGGTGGGCAGGTTTACCAAATCATTTAGATTCAGTAGAACGGGAGCCATATTATCCCCGACCACTGAGAGGGAAATTACTTCGGATTGCAGAACCATGTTGGAATGCATGGTTAGAGGAATTGATAACTCCACGGGGCCACTGGGTATCACGTTAATATTTTGGATCTTGTTGAATTCCTTTTTTATACCTTCTGGTTCTACACGAAGTTTTTCGATAATGCCATCGGAAGCCAGGCGATTTTTGGCGGTGATTTTCAATTCAATATAACCCGCCAGCCGGGGATTGATAAGAAATGAGACGGTATCGACACCATTCGCCGGCATGGTTACATGTTTGGTTCGTTGTTGTTCCGTGGAACCTGTTTCCCTGTTGAATATTGTCGATTCCATGAAATAAAATTCCTCCTTTGCATTGATGAGGCTAATTTCGGTATCCAAAGTTTCGTTGAGATAATTGTGTATTTGTATGGGTATGGCAACTATTTCCCCACGTTTCACCGAATAGGGTAGGTTGAGGGTAATAAAGAACGGTTGTATTGTGGTTATATCTGTGGGTCCGTGCACAATACCAAAACCGGTTTCCTCATTCATTGAAAATGCCGTCAAACGCCAGGTGGTAATTGTGTCCGGTATTTTAAGGGTCAGCTGGGTGGTATCATTTGTTCTGGAAAAATCTCAAGTTGTAGAATTTGCAATTACTTGGGAGGCTAGTTGCCACTTACATTTCATAATTTTCAAAAATCCAGGTTTCGGGGAAATTTTTACGAAATTTAGCTTCGTTAAATGGCGTGGGAAGGCTGATGGTAGGATCTGAAAATTTTACTGCAATAAAATATTTCATTTCAATATTTTCCATCACAACTTACGTAATAAGGGCACAAATTCATAATGGGCATTTGTGAGGGTAACTAAGCCAGAGAGAAGGCCCGGATATACTAAGGCCAAAAAGGGAAGACCGCTGATATCCACTTCCAAGGAGTAGAGTATATCGTTTTTCTGCAGATCATATGAAGAATCCAGGAGATATACACCCAAATCAACGGCAAGGATGGCAACAAGGGATTTAGGTTGGGCCTTCACTTCGAGGGTTACATCTGCACCGGGTTTCACCTGCTTGGGCGCCATAATGGAAACCTGAAAAATATGAAATAGAAAGACACGGAAAATGATTTATTTTAAAAATATTCAATAATTCATGCCTAAAAAAGTGATCACAAATAATAGCTAAAAACGCTGAAAACTCAATATTTAAGGAGTTATGGCCATTTTAAAATTCCTATTATTTCACACTTATAAAAGTGATCACAAATAATAGCTAAAAACGCTGAAAACTCAATATTTAAGGAGTTATGGCCATTTTAAAATTCCTATTATTTCACACTTATAAAAGTGATCACAAATAATAGCTAAAAACGCTGAAAACTCAATATTTAAGGAGTTATGGCCATTTTAAAATTCTTACTAATTCACACTTATAAAAGTGATCACAAATAATAGCTAAAAACGCTGAAAACTCAATATTTAAGGAGTTATGGCCATTTTAAAATTCCTATTATTTCACACTTATAAAAGTGATCACAAATAATAGCTAAAACGCTGAAAACTCAATATTTAAGGAGTTATGGCCATTTTAAAATTCTTACTAATTCACACTTATAAAAGTGATCACAAATAATAGCTAAAAACGCTGAAAACTCAATATTTAAGGAGTTATGGCCATTTTAAAATTCCTATTATTTCACACTTATAAAAGTGATCACAAATAATAGCTAAAAACGCTGAAAACTCAATATTTAAGGAGTTATGGCCATTTTAAAATTCTTACTAATTCACACTTATAAAAGTGATCACAAATAATAGCTAAAAACGCTGAAAACTCAATATTTAAGGAGTTATGGCCATTTTAAAATTCTTACTAATTCACACTTATAAAAGTGATCACAAATAATAGCTAAAAACGCTGAAAACTCAATATTTAAGGAGTTATGGCCATTTTAAAATTCCTATTATTTCACACTTATAAAAGTGATCACAAATAATAGCTAAAAACGCTGAAAACTCAATATTTAAGGAGTTATGGCCATTTTAAAATTCTTACTAATTCACACTTATAAAAGTGATCACAAATAATAGCTAAAAACGCTGAAAACTCAATATTTAAGGAGTTATGGCCATTTTAAAATTCCTATTATTTCACACTTATAAAAGTGATCACAAATAATAGCTAAAAACGCTGAAAACTCAATATTTAAGGAGTTATGGCCATTTTAAAATTCTTACTAATTCACACTTATAAAAGTGATCACAATAGTAGCTAAAAACGCTGAAAACTCAATATTTAAGGAGTTATGGCCATTTTAAAATTCTTACTAATTCACACTTATAAAAGTGATCACAAATAATAGCTAAAAACGCTGAAAACTCAATATTTAAGGAGTTATGGCCATTTTAAAATTCTTACTAATTCACACTTATAAAAGTGATCACAAATAATAGCTAAAAACGCTGAAAACTCAATATTTAAGGAGTTATGGCCATTTTAAAATTCCTATTATTTCACACTTATAAAAGTGATCACAAATAATAGCTAAAAACGCTGAAAACTCAATATTTAAGGAGTTATGGCCATTTTAAAATTCTTACTAATTCACACTTATAAAAGTGATCACAAATAATAGCTAAAAACGCTGAAAACTCAATATTTAAGGAGTTATGACCATTTTAAAATTCTTACTAATTCACACTTATAAAAGTGATCACAAATAATAGCTAAAAACGCTGAAAACTCAATATTTAAGGAGTTATGGCCATTTTAAAATTCCTATTATTTCACACTTATAAAAGTGATCACAATAATAGCTAAAAACGCTGAAAACTCAATATTTAAGGAGTTATGGCCATTTTAAAATTCCTATTATTTCACACTTATAAAAGTGATCACAAATAATAGCTAAAAACGCTGAAAACTCAATATTTAAGGAGTTATGGCCATTTTAAAATTCTTACTAATCACACTTATAAAAGTGATCACAAATAATAGCTAAAAACGCTGAAAACTCAATATTTAAGGAGTTATGGCCATTTTAAAATTCCTATTATTTCACACTTATAAAAGTGATCACAAATAATAGCTAAAAACGCTGAAAACTCAATATTTAAGGAGTTATGGCCATTTTAAAATTCCTATTATTTCACACTTATAAAAGTGATCACAAATAATAGCTAAAAACGCTGAAAACTCAATATTTAAGGAGTTATGGCCATTTTAAAATTCTTACTAATTCACACTTATAAAAGTGATCACAAATAATAGCTAAAAACGCTGAAAACTCAATATTTAAGGAGTTATGGCCATTTTAAAATTCCTATTATTTCACACTTATAAAAGTGATCACAAATAATAGCTAAAAAACGCTGAAAACTCAATATTTAAGGAGTTATGGCCATTTTAAAATTCCTATTATTTCACACTTATAAAAAGTGATCACAAATAATAGCTAAAAACGCTGAAAAACTCAATATTTAAGGAGTTATGGCCATTTTAAAATTCCTATTATTTCACACTTATAAAAGTGATCACAAATAATAGCTAAAAACGCTGAAAACCTCAATATTTAAGGAGTTATGGCCATTTTAAAATTCCTATTATTTCACACTTATAAAAGTGATCACAAATAATAGCTAAAAAACGCTGAAAACTCAATATTTAAGGAGTTATGGCCATTTTAAAATTCCTATTATTTCACACTTATAAAAGTGATCACAAATAATAGCTAAAAACGCTGAAAACTCAATATTTAAGGAGTTATGGCCATTTTAAAATTCTTACTAATTCACACTTATAAAGTGATCACAAATAATAGCTAAAAACGCTGAAAACTCAATATTTAAGGAGTTATGGCCATTTTAAAATTCTTACTAATTCACACTTATAAAAGCGATCACAAATAATAGCTAAAAACGCTGAAAACTCAATATTTAAGGAGTTATGGCCATTTTAAAATTCCTATTATTTCACACTTATAAAAGTGATCACAAATAATAGCTAAAAACGCTGAAAACTCAATATTTAAGGAGTTATGGCCATTTTAAAATTCTTACTAATTCACACTTATAAAGTGATCACAAATAATAGCTAAAAACGCTGAAAACTCAATATTTAAGGAGTTATGGCCATTTTAAAATTCTTACTAATTCACACTTATAAAAGTGATCACAAATAATAGCTAAAACGCTGAAAACTCAATATTTAAGGAGTTATGGCCGTTTTAAAATTCTTACTAATTCACACTTATAAAAGTGATCACAAATAATAGCTAAAAACGCTGAAAACTCAAAATTTAAGGAGTTATGGCCATTTTAAAATTCCTATTATTTCACACTTATAAAAGTGATCACAATTAATAGCTAAAAACGCTGAAAACTCAATATTTAAGGAGTTATGGCCATTTTAAAATTCTTACTAATTCACACTTATAAAAGTGATCACAAATAATAGCTAAAAACGCTGAAAACTCATATTTAAGGAGTTATGGCCATTTTAAAATTCTTACTAATTCACACTTATAAAAGTGATCACAAATAATAGCTAAAAACGCTGAAAACTCAATATTTAAGGAGTTATGGCCATTTTAAAATTCTTACTAATTCACACTTATAAAAGTGATCACAAATAATAGCTAAAAACGCTGAAAACTCAATATTTAAGGAGTTATGGCCATTTTAAAATTCTTACTAATTCACACTTATAAAAGTGATCACAAATAATAGCTAAAAACGCTGAAAACTCAATATTTAAGGAGTTATGGCCATTTTAAAATTCCTATTATTTCACACTTATAAAAGTGATCACAAATAATAGCTAAAAACGCTGAAAACTCAATATTTAAGGAGTTATGGCCATTTTAAATTCTTACTAATTCACACTTATAAAAGTGATCACAAATAATAGCTAAAAACGCTGAAAACTCAATATTTAAGGAGTTATGGCCATTTTAAAATTCTTACTAATTCACACTTATAAAGTGATCACAAATAATAGCTAAAAACGCTGAAAACTCAATATTTAAGGAGTTATGGCCATTTTAAAATTCCTATATTCACACTTATAAAGTGATCACAAATAATAGCTAAAAACGCTGAAAACTCAATATTTAAGGAGTTATGGCCATTTTAAAATTCTTACTAATTCACACTTATAAAAGTGATCACAAATAATAGCTAAAAACGCTGAAAACTCAATATTTAAGGAGTTATGGCCATTTTAAAATTCTTACTAATTCACACTTATAAAAGTGATCACAAATAATAGCTAAAAAACGCTGAAAACTCAATAATTTAAGGAGTTATGGCCATTTTAAAATTCCTATTATTTCACACTTATAAAAGTGATCACAAATAATAGCTAAAAACGCTGAAAACTCAATATTTAAGGAGTTATGGCCATTTAAAATTCTTACTATTCACACTTATAAAAGTGATCACAAATAATAGCTAAAAACGCTGAAAACTCAATATTTAAGGAGTTATGGCCATTTTAAAATTCCTATTATTTCACACTTATAAAAGTGATCACAAATAATAGCTAAAACGCTGAAAACTCAATATTTAAGGAGTTATGGCCATTTTAAAATTCTTACTAATTCACACTTATAAAAGTGATCACAAATAATAGCTAAAAACGCTGAAAACTCAATATTTAAGGAGTTATGGCCATTTTAAAATTCTTACTAATTCACACTTATAAAAGTGATCACAAATAATAGCTAAAAACGCTGAAAACTCAATATTTAAGGAGTTATGGCCATTTTAAAATTCCTATTAATTTCACACTTATAAAAGTGATCACAATAATAGCTAAAAACGCTGAAAACTCAATATTTAAGGAGTTATGGTCATTTTAAAATTCTACTAATTCACACTTATAAAGTGATCACAAATAATAGCTAAAAAACGCTGAAAACTCAATATTTAAGGAGTTATGGCCATTTTAAAATTCTTACTAATTCACACTTATAAAAGTGATCACAAATATAGCTAAAAACGCTGAAACTCAATATTTAAGGAGTTATGGCCATTTTAAAATTCCTATTATTTCACACTTATAAAAGTGATCACAAATAATAGCTAAAAAA